GGATGATCTTGAAAACCTGCAAGGTTGCTTTGGAAGAGGACAGATGGGCAGCATTTCCCAGTTTAAATTAATATTTGCAGAGAATGATTCTCAAAGTATTCATACAGCTATGGCTATGGAAAATGATGTTAGAATGTATTCCAAATAATTGTCCGGCGGGGCACTTTGGGTCTGCAGCAAAGGCGCTTGGCGGCTCCCACAATGCAAAGTGCCCCACCAGGCACTTTGCATCGCAGGAGCCGCCAAGTCCCGGGTCTGTAGCAAAGGCGCTTGGCGGATCCTGCGATGCAAAGTGCCCCGCCGCAGCCAACATTCATGACGACACCGATGCCGCCAGCGTGAATGTCGGCCTCGGCAGCGGCGGGGCACTTTGCATCGCGGGAACTTCATCGGGCGCCGCTGCCGCTTCCTCCGCTGCCGCCACTTTCCCCTCTGCCCTGGCCGCGCCTTATGCCGCATTCGGAGTGCTGCCCTTTCGGAAAGCCCCGCCGGAGCCCCAGCACTGTGTCCGCTATAGAGCGGGACACGTCCCACCTGTATGATGGACACAGTGGCGGGGCTTCAGTGGGGCTTTTGGAAAGCCGTGCCAGGGCTTTGCCTCACCAGCCATAAAGCTCACCGCACGTCACTGGTGGCAACCATTTTGTGGAAAATGAGCCTTAAACATTTGAAAAATTGTACTGGTTACCCCACTGTATGTAGAAGGGAAAAATTTGGTATGTGAGCCTACCAACAAACAGTGCCTGCAAGAAAAAACTGGAGTCAACTGGGCCATACTGGAGGCTCCGAATATCACATAGAACATTGTCACACTAAGTTTCACCATAAAAATGAGAATTACAAAGTTTAATATAAATTTTTTTGGGGAAAAAAAACACTGAATTCAACTTATTTACTCGAATTTGTTTTTGTGACTATAAAATGCTTGTAAATTACTATTTGAAGGTTTAGCATTAAATGTAAGAATGTAAATGCATGTCTTAATACTGAAAATTACTATTTAATCTCAGTATTGCATAATGGTTTCTTCAAAATGATGCAGTAATAATCATTATCAACTTTAGGCATCCATTTGAGCATACTTTCTATGTCATCTTGTTTTGCTTTCTTGTGTGTATATTTGTAACTCTGTCTTAGGAACAGGCAATGTAACAGATATGGCAGGCGATGTTGGCAAAGCAGGTTTCCCACAAACAATCCTTGTCTTCTTTTCAAAGGCACGGATGGTGACCTTGTCCCAATCTTTCACAGTGAAGGTTGTCTTGAACCTTACTGCTGAATGGATCTGGGTGAACGTTAGTTGTGATACTTTAGCATATGACATTACAGCACATTACTCTACTGAAACTGTTTGAACCCATGGAGTAATTTTTAAAATGTGCAAACTTTATCTGGATGATTTTGAATGGCTGGCGTCGCTTGGCTTTTTTCAGCAATCTTAGAAAAGAAACTGGTGAAAAGAATTCTGCTGGTAGCATAGCACGCTCATGCTATGCATATTATCCACTTCTTGAATGAAAGAGTAGCCTGGTATAGAAAACTTCATTTCAATGCTTTCAATGTTTGGGTGATTGGGTGACCTTCCTTACTAAAGGCTTATGCCTTAAGCTAATATGCTGGGACATACATATATACACACAGCCATTCTTATATATCTATAGATTACATAGTTCTAACTGCAGTGCCCTGAAACATGTATATTCAGGTGTGACTCATAGCCACAATTATTACTAGGATCAAAATGCAGGGTTCTGGGCCTGCATTATAAGAGTGTTAGTGAATGGAATAGACTTAAAGCACAGAATACTCACTCATTTCCAATTAAAAGTTCCATATCCAATTGGTCATCTGGGTTTTTGGAACATACTCGGATCCATTTGGTTCTTATAAGTCTGAACTTGCTTCCATATCGTGGAAAAGAGACATTAT